TCTAATGCACAACTTAGACTCATTGTAATACCAATACATACCAATGTTTGGATGGTGTAATTTTCGGCAGATCCTAGCTTCACGCTCTAGTTTTTGAAAATCTTAAAACAAAATTAGTTATTCATGAAATATGCACTAACTCTGTATACATAAAAAACAGCCTAGTCTGCACACGGAAAATGCATGATGGAATTGATGGTTGGAGCAAATGCCAATATCCTTACCTCTTGCTGTCAACTTTTTGGTATTTATAATCTTTGCAGCAAATTCAAATCCAGTTGATTTTTGGACACATCTTTTTACTATTGAGAAGGCACCTCTGAAAAATCGGACCATTTTGGGTGAATTTGAAATAATACAATGGTCATTAAACATACTTTCCTAGTTCTTCTTTGATGTCATAATTGTCCGAAAAACGCGTACAGGCTGCTGGAGCAGCCATCGCGATGGCACACTTAAGAAAATCTATTTCGGCAATAAATTGTCAGCAAGGCGTTGTATAAAATTGCCTTTATCTCTGTGATTTTCAGTGTGCCTATATTTCCACTTCCAAGGTTGTTAATTTAGCTTTTTAATTAATAAGACAATGGAATAAAAGTTAGAGTTTAATGGAGCAAAGAAAGTTTATATTTTTTAACATAGTCTACATACATAAATATATGTATTCGTGCTTGCACAAACACCTTTACAATAATAAGACAGGTTGTAACCTGTAACCTACCGGCAAAGATCTGGTTGTTGTTTTGTGACTCCGCTCTATGACGAACATATGTACATATGTATGTACGTACTGCACCGGCTACCGGAATAACAAAACAGTCGAAAGCAAATAATTTTTTAATTTTTTTATATTTGACATTCCATTCCATTACCAATTCAATATGACATTTTTAATGTAGTGACTTGTTATTGTTATCGGCAATAAACAATAGTTTCTCCCATCCCTATTAATTTTCATAGTATAACAGCATGTACATTTGCAAAACAAAATAAATAAATGCATTTCGATCTATTGTTTTTTAAAAACAAAATGAAAATGTTTTTGTTTAAATACATTTATTGCATATTTCTATATACATGTATTTATATAAATATGTATCTATGTATGTATGTACATACGTTATGCATGTATATATGTATGTAATCTTTTGAGGAATGGCGTTAGTTATGGCTACATACGATAACATACATGTACATATCGATTAGATATTTATTAAAATAGTCTTCGATATGAATTAAACGCCATGTACATACATAACTATTTGGTTACATTCGTATGTACATACGACTGCATATGGGGCTCTGTTCTGAGGTGCATTGAGAGCTTTTGGTCAAAATCAATATGCTGATTCAAGAATAGACTAGAAAATTACTAACCAAGTTTTAGATGATACATAAACAAAATCTTTTATACAACAAGAAGAGTCCTATGTTTTCGGCTAGCATATGTACATAATGTTCATTTCTTGAACCTTGAAATCAATATTTAAGTATCAGAAAATGTAAAGAAAAAATATATCTGTAGAACATATGTACATATGCATTATTTTTATATGATATACACATTTATTGACTAAATGAAATTTACCACTGAAAGCGACAGGTGTTTCTGAGCATTTCATTATTGAAAAAAGGGTACCTCACCGCATGAGTATCTACAGTTAGGTTAATGGTAATGTACATACATACTGGCAAAGAGTCAAAGAACAAGTTTATGTATCCTTTTCTATGTATCCTGATTTTTTTTCAAGGGAGCTTTTGATTGAGCTTAATTTTAAGACGCCCATCCTATAAGGATACTGCAAGGGTGTCTTTGAGGACATCAAGTAAAACTTGTTGCGATTCATCTAAATTTTGTTTAATACAAGTTTTCACCAATACGGTATTTTAAAATTATATTCATGTTTCAGAATATGTCACCGTTGATTTAATGTGTGTGCAAGTGTAAATATTTTTAGATGATGCAAAGATGTAGATACATACATATACCACACTGACAAGTATACTTATGAATATATTGCTGCTTCCTTATGAAACACGTCCACATTGCTTGCGCATGAATATTCCAAGTTTTTCAACTGCCTTCTTTGCATTTGTATTTCTAAGCAATCATACATATGTACGTATCTGTAGCCCTGTTATATTGTTAATATTCTTTATGTTACTTAATATGTATGTATGAACTATGCGATAAAACTTGTACTTATGTACATGTGTATACATGAATACATACTTACATATATGTAAAGGAACTATTGTCCCTTAAAACATAGGGCGAGGCAAGTGGACTTGTGTCAACCTAATTGTAGCAAGGAGAGCAAACACTTTTATACATATATGTACCTTGTACGTACCATAAATATATACATATGAAAGTATATTTTAACCTAAAGTAATACAAATGAATGCATGTGTACATATTTACGTATGTATAATTATGTATATTTTTTAATTTCTCCCGAGCCTGAGAGATACATAAATACATTTGTGTACGCATGAATGGATACATACATATGTCGGTAAAACACTTAAGAATATGTAAAAACTGTATGAATATTACTTTAAATGTACATATACCTTATGAAATGAAATTAATTAGGCTGTTTCACTTAAAACAATGTATCACGAATACATTTATCAGTAATCCGTGAAATCATAAATTGTTAATTATGACAAAATAATAAAAGTTTAAATGTCAATACGGAAAATAAAAGTTCCGATATGCGAACATACATATGTATGTATACATCTATGTACAAGTATGTACAGATATAGCGCACTGAGAATACACGACGCGTATAAATAGATATAGCAATTTTGAGAACGTCCGTTTGCTTGAAAATCGAATTCAATACTGAATGACGAGACTTTACTGTCTCTTTTGGTTCGATTAAAGTAGAAGTGCCGAGCAGAAAAGCTTTGTGCTGAATTTTTGTTCCCTGACTTTCGTAAAGCAAAATTAAAACTTACGGCCACGAAGGCCATATTTGCGTGCAGACGTATGTATGTAGTACAATGCTAGGAGTATGCGCAGTGAAGTGTCCGTTTTCAGAACTTTCATTACGTCGAAAGCTAATTTTTGGATCAGACAGAAACAAGATGCGGCCAGATCATCACTCAGCCTCTGCATCATGATCAAACATAAAACATATATGTATTTTTATAATGGGTCTTCATATTTGCTTACAACATTTTATCATAAAACAGCATAAGTGCAGTATATCAACGTTACAAAGGATCTTATTTTAAATTTGATTGGACGGTGACAGCATCATTAAAAGGTTAAAGCAACACAATGCTTGTTACGCGCGGATCATAGGCAAAATATCGATATCTGCAATATATATTACAGGGCGCAGACTCATAGAGTACCGAAGTCCAAACCGCATCGGCCAAACTGCGCACGTGCAGTAAATCTATCTGGTGGTGGAAAGTCAAAGTGGTGGCAGTTAAAGCTCGTATGGGTATGCTATACTAACAACAAAAGAATCTCAATACCAAATAATAACACATTTTGACCTGAAACTGACGCAGATTGAGGGGAACCTTGCTGGTTCTTCCGAACATTCTTGAAAATTACATCGTTTGAGGGTTCTCACAATTTTTTTTAACGATGGGCTTACTCTGTTTGTATTGATTCCGACTAAGAAAAAAATAATTCTGTTCTCACAGTAAACGAGAAGGGGCGTGTGAGAGCTTCTTACTCGTCACAACTTTTATACCCGCCACTCAGTACTACATCTGCACCTTAGCGGTTGTTTGTCAAGTTTTACACTTTTTCTTCATCTGTCATCTACATCAACAACACTACTCAAGCCAACACGCTCCTTTAGCTCGTCACCCTCCCCTAGAGTCACACACTGCAGAGTCAGGGCAGAGACGCCGCAGAGGCAGAGACGTGTCTGCGCGAAGCAGAGTGTGAATGAGATAATGTGCAAAAAACAAATATAAGCTGCGGGACGTGGTGGGTTTAGCCGCTGCAAATTAATTTCTTCATTGTGGACATAATAATGATCCAATCGGATATGGTCAATATGGTCATTTAGTTTTCTTTTATCTTCAAACCTATAGTTTTGGGAGGTGTTCGCCCTTTTCCGGGGGCGGGGCTCATTTTTGAAATACACTGGTTTTAGTGTGAGCATACAGCAGTCTGGAGCCAAAATTTGGTGGCTCTAGCCACTAACAAAATAGTATACTATTTGGTTAGTGCTCTAGCTCTTATAGTCTCTGAGAACTAGCCGACAAACAAGACGGACAGACAGGCATGGCTCAATCGACTCGGCTATTGATGCTGATCAAGAATATATGTGCTTTATGGGGTCGGAAACGTTTCCTTCTGTGCGTTACATACAACCATTATTCCCCACAAATACAATATACCCTATTTAATCTTCGAGTACCAGGTATAAAAATAACCGACTAAACTAAATGAAAGCCTCGCTCAAAACATGATTGACAAGTTATATATGGCTATAAAATATTATCTATTTATATAAAATAATCTATTAATATTTTGTAAACGAAAATGTTCCCTATATACATTTCCCCTTTCGACGAAAAAAACCAAACATCAGACTCGTAGCTAAGACTCAACGATTTTAAATAATTTATGAAAACTTTAACTATGAGCCAACTTGAGAGCCAAGAAGGGGTGAATAGCTGCTTGAAGGCGTCAAGGTACAGGCAAGTGGTGGTCCCATGTGTGATCTGGAGCCTCCACAGCGAATTCGTTGACAAAATCAAAAATATTCGAAGCATTAGGAAACAAATATAACAACCCAAAATTCATGGTGTAGTAAGTGGCGTTTTATGGTGATGTGGTACCCCTATCTTTGAAGGCCGTCTAGCCGGACCAAACTCGCAAAGGTAACAGCTTTTAGATACTTTCCAGTGCTGATTCGTTATGATTACCGTGCATGGGATGGGTGATGGGAGTATCTGTAATCCGATGTAATCCTTTCCTCACCACCTTAAGTTAATACAGTAAAAAACGTTATAACTTAAGAAGTAGTTATATTTATTGTAAATAATTGCACATGGACAAAGTCATGGCAGGTTCAACTAATAGGTGTATGGATTTAAAAATAAGTACGAATATTTTTGGTTTCATAGCTTTGCGATAAAATAATATCCAATAAGTACTGTGTATGGAATGCAAATTCGATTATTCATGTATCGATGAACAAGGTACAAGGTACCAAGATATTTTTAAAATATTGAATATTCAAGATAATTTTAGTTTCGGAGATAAGAGTACTTAAAGTAGAAAATTGTTTCAGTTTGCAAAAAACTCTGTTGAACTCTCATTCACTTATTAATTTTGCAAGCTGAAATTGCCCACTGTGAGACGGGCCTCGAGAGTAGAGACCGTCTGGGTTCTGCCCTTCGATAACAGGGTCTCGATTACAGGCATAGGCGAAAAGAGAATTGAGACCGCAACATCACACCAAAGAACAGCTTTTTGGTCGCTCATGCAACATCTTGGTATTGTATAGTCTTTGATAATACTTAAGTAGCTAGTGCTTAGTGCTCCGTTGTCATACGATTCGTTAAAGCTTGGACACGTTGTGCATTGCAGCTCTTACAAAGTATATGATCATCTAAAGGGTAGCACCCCCGACCATCAGCTTCGGATGATAATAAGAGCCCACAGTCCTTGTTTAAAAAATATACACATTAGTAATAATTCATTACGAAAGTGTATCAATTCAATAATTTACCTCGCATTTATAGCATTCTAAGTGAAAGCTACGGTCCAAGGCCACCACTCGTACTGTCTCTTCTTGCCCTGGCTCAGGCATTATTGGTTCCTTGCAGACGCAGCAACGTGGTGCAAATTTTCTATATTTCGCAATATAAAAAAAACATGCAGTAACGGAAATAATGTCCTTTAATCAAATCTCTTACTTATGAAAATCGGAAATGCAATAATTCTGATTAGTTGCATCAACGGTGAACAATAAACCATCCAAACTTTTTCCACATACAACACATGTAAAGCATTGCGGATGGTACGGCTTTCCAGTAGCTCTGAGAATTCTTTCCAAAATGGGCTCCATGCAAACTGAGCATTTCTCAAGAGTTTGCAAATAGTCATATTCGCAGTATGGTTTCCCCTCCAGGGCATAAAATGGTTTACCTTGAAGATTTATTTGACAGTCTGAGCATGTAAAACAGGATATATGGTAAATTTGGTCCATGGCCGTACAACCACTACTTTCTCCCAGCACTCGCTTATTGCATTTGACGCACCGACCTAGCCGGAGAATAAATATTTATTAGTTTAAAATAAGCATTTCAACATGTTTCACGTACCATAGTTTTCAAAGTCATTTGTTTGGCGAGTTGGATCGCTAGCATAGAGTCCTATACCACCTTCATTCTTATTTCTATTTTGATAAGTGTTTTGCTCATCATAACATTCTGCCATGACATCGCCTCTGACATATAGTGGCTTGTTCGAATCAATTGCTATCAAAGAATTAACTTCACATGATCTATTCGCAACATTGTTATCATTTACGTATGTATCATACGTATTGTAACATGCATGTGATAGCATATCGCCAGGGGGACGAGGATTTATAGGCTCATAGATTGAATCGTATGTCGATGAACTCTGCAAAAAAATAAATAAACCGTATATATACACTTTCATACATACAAAAAATTAAGTAGTAACACAAGAAATCCGAACAGGGCCCTGCCAAGGGGGCGTTTGCCGCTTTGATTTGGACTCGAAACTATCAAATTTTGAATATAAAGTGTGATTGGAGGCGCCGTTTTCCAACTTGGTGCAATTCTTCATTGACACGGCTAAAGAAGCTCAGCTCAACAATTTCCTAATTGCGGTTTTAGTATATTTATACCCGGTACTTGAAGAGTATATTGGTATATTGGGGTATATTGTATTTGTGGGGAATAACGGTTGTATGTAACGCACAGAAGGAAACGTTTCCGACCCCATAAAGTAAATATACTCTTGATCAGCATCAATAGCCGAGTCGATTGAGCCATGTCTGTCTGTCCGTCTTGTTTGTCGGCTAGTTCTCAGAGACTATAAGAGCTAGAGCCACCAAATTTTTGATATAGACTGCGCAGTGTATTTAAAAAAAACTAAAAGAAAACTAAAAACGCCATTCCGTAGGGAATGACCATATCTATCAGATCCCCATTGGGATCCGACTGCTAAACCCATCTGCCGTCCCTCTGCCTTTGCCACTTCCGCCTTTTCAACCAACCCGTCCCGCAGCTTATGTTTGTTTTTTTTTGTGTGCGGCCGCTGCCTCTGCCTCTGCCGCGAGTCTGCAGTGTGTGGGTCTAGGGAAGGGCGGCGAGCTAACGGAGCGTGTTGGTGTGAGAAGTGTTGTAGATGTAGATGATAGTTAAAGAAAAAATTTAAAATTTGACAAAACACCGCTGAGGAGCAGATGTAGTACTGAGTGCCGGGTATAAATGTTGTGACGCGTAAGAAGCGTCTCAAACGTCCCTTCTCGTTATTTTCGCCATGTTCGTGGTATTTTTTCTTGAAGTTAAAAAAAAAATTTAAAGACATAAATTTGAAGAAAGGCAACACTTTGTTTGTTAATGGAGAATACTTAACTATATGAAAAAACTACAAATTAAAAAAAATCGCAACAGTAATTGCTTTTTTTTTTCCAAGAACAAAATGTGTTGTAGTGGTGCTATTATTTTTTCGCAACTGTATAACCGGTAATAACAGCAAAAAACCGGTAACCGGTAAATATCCGTTCCGTTCCTTCGTATGGTATTCGAATTATAGCAAAATAGGATAATTCCACTCATCAGAAAGTGTTGATCGGTGGTATGGACAAAGAATGTCCTTATTGTCAAAACAGTAACATTAAACAGGTTGCTCATCGGCAAAGATGAAAAAAGTGTTTTTTATATGGATCTAATATGATTATGAATGAAAATAACTTGAAGTGTTCATTTTGAACAATAATAATTAAAATATCTTTTCTTTATCATACATTGTGTGAAAAAGGACTTTTAGAACAGGGTTTTAGAAGTAGCTTGTAATGACACTTCTAAAAATATACCCTATTCTTTGTACATATATTCTTGATCACGAGCCATAGCCGAGTCTGTGGCTGCACCAGCATAACCTAATCAGGTATCTGTCTTCGGCTTTGAGACGTGATTTTTTAGGGACGCCGTAGTAAGACTTCATTATTCTAGAATGTATGCTAAGTTTAATCGAGAAGGGACGTGTGAGACGCTTCTTACGCATCATTCTTATACCCGGTACTGAGTACTACATCTGTACCTTAGCGGTTTTTTGTCAAATTTTAAATTTTTTCTTCATGTGCCATCTACAACACTTCTAACGCCAAAACGCTCCGTTAGCTCGCCCCCTTTCCTATACCCACACACTGCAGACTCACGGCAGAGGCAGAGACGTAGCAGAGGCAGATTTCGAAACAGAGTGTGAATGAGAGAATGCGAAAAAAGCAACAAAAGGTGCTGGACGGGATTGGTTTAGCCACTGCAAATTAATTTCTTCATTCTGGCTATAATAATGATCCTATCTGATCCCAATGATCCAGTCTATGTCCTTCTATCTGTTCGTCCGGACTGCTGTGCTCCAGACTGCTGCGAAATCACACTGAAACAAGTTAATTAAAAAAATTAGCCCCGACCCAATTCTGCCACCACAAAGGGCGAAATCTGCAGTATCCACACTTTTAAAGATAAGAGGAATCTAGATTGGATCATCAGCTATCCCCAACCCGTCCAGCAGCATTGCTTTTTTTTCATATTCTCTCATTCCACGCTCTGCTTCGTGCAGTGTGGGGATCTAGGGAAGCGGGGCGAGCTAAAAGAGCCTGTTAGCGTGAGATGTGATGTAGATAGAAGTCATGTGAAGAAAAAATGTAAAACTACTACTACTGTGTACCGGGAATAAAAGTTGTGACGCGTACGAAGCGTCTCACACGTCCCTTTTCTTTTTTTCTTTCTAAATTTACCTTAATCATTGCGTTATGTTGCATCAAATGTTGTCTTGAACAGTTGTTTGCTGCATTGATATATGTTTTAGGCGGTGGCAGAAGTTTTAGCTCAGCTTCCGCCATTTCCGTTGGCTTGCTGAACAAATTGGTGGCACGTCGTAGCTCACTATAGGAAGAGCTAACAGCACTTACAGGGCTAGGAGGTGGCAGCATATCTTCCTCTCGCTCCTTCTCCAACACTGAGTGAGTACAGACCGAAAGCATTCCAGGTAAGGAAAGCAGTGTTGACACGGTGGCATCAGTGCTTGCATCTGAAATTATGAATTCAGTAAGTACAGTCATTATTATACTTTGGCAAAAGACTTTTACCTGTTGAATTTACATTGGAGTACATTGTGGGGCGTTCAGAAGACGGGTACCCATATATTGATTCAGTTTGCGGTATATTTTCTGATTGTAGTTTACTTTCAGATGGCATTTTTAAGTTGCTGTAGATTATACTGTTTCCCAAGGAGTTAGATGACAACTTTGGAATACTTGTGGTAGATTTTATGGATTGTATCTGTATTCCTAAAAGTCCTTTCTTTTCCATTTGAAGCTTGTGATACGCTAGAGCTTCTAATTGCTGTTCCAATACAGCCGGGTTGTCCAAAGTTGATTTTCTATTGCTGGCTTTTCCGGAAACTTCGCAGTCAAATTGTTGGTTCTTACGAAAAAGAACGGACGTTCCAAATGGTTTCTCCGAACCAAGTAGTGGCTGTGAATAAAGCGGTTCCCGTGAACAAGTAACTTGCTTACTTAATGGAACCTTCAATTTGTTTCACACTCAAATTACTTTACAATAAAGTTGGCAGTTAGATTACATAATATACACACAAAACAAAAGAAATAGGAACCTTGTGAGATGCGCTAGAGCGCTTCACAGCTTTTATACCCGGTTCTCAGTCAATATATATCTACATAATATGTATGTACTTAGTTAATTAAAAGCAAAAAATAGACGAGAAGGGACGTGTGCGTTTCTTAAGCGTCACATTTTTTATACCCGGTACTCAGTAGGACATCGGTACCTTGGTGGTTTTTCTTTCAAATTTTACATTTTATATTGTTTCTACATCTCATCTACACCTACATCTACACTCGGCTATTGATGCTGATCAAGAATGTACATATATACTTTATGGGGTCGGACACTTGTCCTTCTCTGCGTGACATACATCATGATAAGGCTGATAGTGCTGATAAGTACTATGGACAGCAGTGCTATTTATGTCGGAATTTTCATGCGCTTAAATTCAAACCTGAATCAGATTGTAGGTGCTACGCATCAGGAAAAGTGCAACTATCAGAAATTGAGAAACCATCCGAACCATTGAACCGGGTTGCACGGAGGGCGCATCAGAATTCAAACCTGTTCCTGAAGTCCGTGTGAACACTTAATTCACGCTTCCAAATGGCATCAATCGGTTCAACAAATATATAAATAGTTCACAATACTGTGCAGTATGATTTGCTGGGTCAAATAGTATTATATAAAATCCATTTAGTCTGTGTTTTTTCGAAGGTCTTAATTAGATTAAATTTTTCATCATTATTGAATTTATTCTAGCTGACTTTCGCTTTCTCGCTTGCATACATTTTTGTTGTTACTGCACTGCCTATTCCTCGACAAAGTAGAGAATATTTATATACATATAATACCCCTTGGCAAAAAAAAAATAAAAATTTGTTCGATCCAAAAAAAGGTTTCAATCTTATTAAATACATACCTGAGGCATCTCATTTAGTTTTTTCGGCGGCTTCGGTGGAACAGATGGAGCCATTTTTTTATAGAGAGTATCATCTTGCACCCTGTACGAATTTTTCTGTAAATTTTCAACTAATTTTGCGACTGTCCCATGTCTCCCGTAATCGACGGCATACCCTTTCGGCGACAACGGCTTATCGTTCAATACCGACAGTTCCTTAAGTTGCTTGTCTAAGGATTCCATGCTGACACATTGATGTTAATCTGTCAAACAAGTAATAATAACAATATGTACGTGTTAATTTTTTAACAGTAAATAGTGCGTATAACACGCACTAAACTACAGTGGCTCACAAATCATGGAATCTAACCTAAACTGGGATGTTAAAATGTATGTATAACCGAATTTTCATGAGGGAAACTCTAGAATTTTAAGGAATCTTCGATGGAAAAATCAGGAGTTAGGCTGTGCAAAACTAGTTTATTTACTTATTTCAATTAACCAGGTAAATAATGATTATTATTCTTTTCTTGTTTGAACAAATCATCCATTTAAATACGCCGCACAGAAGAATTTAATGGAGCAATAGACTGCTCTAACTATTATTGCTACTTTTTTTTAATAATTATAAATAAAAATTATGTTTGACTAAAAAAGTAAAACTAAATAATAATAATTAAAATTTTAGTTTTATTTTTTCATTCAATTTTTCAATTTTATCATGATTTTTGAGTTTTATATTTTTTACTCAAACATATTTATTATTCATAATTATTAATAATAATTCTTATCAATACTGATCGTGCTAAAAACTTAAACAAAATAATTATTGAATGATTTTTAAAATAAAGCTTAAATTGAGTACGAACCCCGAAATTAACAATTATCTGCTAATTATGGAATAGAAATAAATATAAATTAAATATAAGTATAGGAGAGGAAGGAAGGATACAATTTACAAATTTGCTTAACCAAGGCTAAACTATTCAAAGGGATATTTCGGTGGATTTAATTTATGGTACAAATTATTATAATAATAATTATACAACCCGGATAAGTTCATGCTGTGCGGAATTAGATCTTCATATGGGTAATAGAATGGGACGGAAAGTACGGGTTGGTCTGGAGGGAACTGTGAAATCTATCTGTCCCAAGAGTTTATGAGTCCACCATCCCGAGAATGAGCTTGTGAATGAATACCACCCCATTGCAAATTCAGCGATGGTGTAAAGAGGGTAGGTCCACTAGCTTTAGCATAGATCGGTATGGGGGTAAGAGTCTGTCAGAGTCCCAGTTAAGATTTGTAAGGGCGAATATTAAAAATTGTTTTTGAACGGATTCAACAAGAATTTCTTGCTCCTTGTATTGAGGACTCCACACATGAGAACAATACTCCAATATCGAACGTACCAACGAGACGTACAGTGTTATAGTTACATATATATGGATTATCAAACTCTTTTGACCAACGCTTAATAAACGCTAGGACTCCCTTAGCTTTGTTCAGCGTTGAATCAATGTGGCTATTAAATGTGGCTATTGGGATCAAAAAGGACTTCTAAGTCATTTGATGTGGAGATTCGATCCAGATCATATGCGCCGTTAAAAGCATTTCATTTTCTCAAGATTCTTCGCTTCTTAGCGACTGAGACTTTTACTTTAAGTATTAAAAGCAACTATTCTCGAACAATTATTGTTTCGGCTTACTATTATTGGATTCTGAATTACTTTTTTTTTAAGCACTAACTGTAAATTGTCGCCGTGTTTTATGACTTATAGGACCCTAATGAAACATGTACTTTTATTTTTTTGAATGTTTAAGTTTTAGGTTTTCCATTTGTAATAATCATTAACGGAAATAATTAAATTTAGAAACGTAAAAAATAATTCACTCAAACAACAAACACATTTTATGTACATTTGTATGTATGTAAATCGAATAAACAGTTCTGTTCTAACCTACATTTGTGTGCAAATGTACTCATGTATAAATTTTATTTATTTTTTAAAGTAATTTAAAAGTCAAAACTTTAAATCTGAATATCTTAATGTATTTTTCCATCCCATTTTAACGAAAATAAATTCGACATAATATTTCTGTTTGTTTCGCGGCGGCAGAAGTAGAGACTGAAAAATATCAACAGTACAAATACTCGATAAGCGTCGAAAGGTTTAGGGGTTTAGGGTATTCACGTGTTTTATTTTTTTATTTTTATAAAGTTATTACTAGATGTCATCCTATTACTTAGATGCGATACATTTTCCGTGGACTAATACAAGGATGATATTCGTACGGGAACGATAAAAATAAGTGCCTGTATTTCGGTCGACCAAAAACTTATCAGCAGACATTACGCGCAGTGTTGCCAACACTCTTTGTCATAATAAAGCTTAAACTTTGAAAAAAGTACGAATGCCAGAAAATGTTGATGACAGCTAAAAAAACGCTAGAGTATTGAAAAGTTATTTTTATCGATTTAATCTAGTACTTTTGAAAACTCATAAAGTTCGTCAAACATATCGTCTTCTGCAGCTGAACTTATGTAAGTCAGATTGGTCCCTATATTTCCTAAGGCTTATGCTGGCACTTCATAATTAGCGGCAAATTTACAGCCAAAAATTATGAAATATTTCGTCAGTGATAGTATGAAACTTGATTCAATTAAATGCTCTTCTGACTTATCGATCTTATTTTTGACGTTTAAATCAAAACAATACTACAAAGTTCTTAAGAGTGTCATCGTAAAGCCTAGTAGTCAGATCGAAAAAAAGGGGCGGCTAGAAAAATCAGAGATGATATTCGTATGGAACCGATAAGAAATATTGTACTTTCTAGCGGGTGTAAATTAGAAAATTAGACGATAGTATTTTGTGGTACTCGATGGTATGTTTTTAGCAGCTCGACAAGTATAGATATGTTCTATATTAAGCGAGGGTACCTAGAAAACAGACAGTAAAGACTCAATAAAATGGAGTCAACAATGCCGCTAAAGTTGAAAGATAAATGATCACCGTGCTTCTCAATGAACTTGAGGTCATCAAATGGTAAAAAAAAAGGAAACACTTATTATAGATTAATGAGATTTTATTGAATTTATTTGCATATTTAAATTGTATAACTTATTTTAACGGCAGTTGCTTCATTTTGCCAAGACACAGACCTGGCTGGGCTGTTAACCAAATTTTTTAAGATGTTTTCCTTATGTGACCAAGTACTGCTCCACAGGGTCGTGCCAAGGGGCGATGGCGACGATTTGGACTAGAAACTATCTTGAATAGGAAGGGTGCTTAGAGGCGCCGTTTTACAACTTCGGCACGGGGGCAAATATTCCTTGGCACGGCCTTGCTGCTCCACCAATCAAAGAAGTCTGCTGATGTTATTCCCAGCCATATGCAAATTCTCTGTCATATTTTCAAACTGCGGATTATTAAAAGATTTTTAAAAAGTAAACAAAGCCAAACGGCTTCCTGAGAAGTGTAACCGTACGGAACCCACACCCTTTTCACATCTGTTCACACTCTGCTGCTAGCAAAATAAATTGCACTGTTTGCTAGAAAACGTGTTTTCGGATGTGAGTACTAGGCTTTAGCGACTCGCAAGAAGATTATATTTTTCCGCACGCAACTTCTTTTGATTATTGTCTGGACGTTGATATGCAATGCGACACCAAGCCAAAGCCTGTTACGCGCGGAACCCAGCAGAACGCAGCCCTCCTCCCGCCCAACCGACCGAGGGGAGCTGCCAAATGACGCGCGGCGAGATTAACCGAACCGGTCGCGAGCATTCAGGAAAGATAGATGTTAGGGACTATACGAGCTAGAGTCACCAAATTTTGGCTTCAAACTGCTGTATGACCACACTGAAACCAGTGCTTTTCAAAAATTATCCCCGCCCCTTCCGCCCCCGCAAAAGGGCGAAAACCTCCCAAAGCTACAATTTTGAACATAAAAGAAATCTAACGGAATTCTGAAGGAAGTGACCATATCTATCAGATCCCCATTGTATCATTATTATGGCTACAATGAAGAAATCAATTTGCAGTGGCTAAACCCACCCTGTCCCGCAGCTTTTGTTGTTCTTTTCACATTCTCTCATTCACACTCTGCTTTTTCTTCACTCGGCCTCTGCCTCTGCCTCTGCCACTGCCTCTGCCGACTTTTAACCCACCCCGTCCCGCAGCTTATATTTGTGTTTTTTTGTGTGCGGGCGCTGCCTCTGTCGCGAGTCTGTAGTGTGTGGGTCTAGGGAAGGACGGCGAGCAAACGGAGCGTGTTGGTGTTTCTCACACTGTTGTAGATTTAGATGACAGATGAAGAAAATATTTAAAATTTGACAAAACATCGCTAAGGTGCAGATGTAGTACTGAGTGCCGGATATAAAAGTTGTGACGCGTAAGAAGCGTCTCACACGTCTCTTCCCGTTTTAAATCTAGTTACGCCCCCCTAGCGCCATACAAAGTTATTAGTTATTTTATTCTTATTCTTCTTATTCTTAGTTATTAGTCTTAGACGCTAAGACCGCTTCTCCTTTAAAGACTTTCTTTTATTTTCTTTAAAAAATAAAAGCCTTACTAATTACGTTTTTAATAATTTATGTTTTATTTTATTTACATTCTACATATTACGTAAAAAAATGACAAACGTATTTATGGGTGAACGCGAAGTGGAAATTTTAGGCGGTCTTTGGCTTCTTATTTGGGATAAAGCTCGACGATTTGATGACACATTTATGCTGGCCGTGTAGTCCATGAACCGGAAGGCAACGGCAATCACTTACGACGTCGGTCTTGAAGAGAGTATCTGCGATAGACGATGTAATTTGGTTCAGGAATTTCCTTTGCTCTTGTGCCTTTAAATTGTCAAAGTTTTGAGTGGCAAACACCCATCCACCATTGTTGAGAACAAAATCAATGCCAAAGTCACTTTCAAATTGGAGCTTAGTACGCTTCTTGTTATCTTTACCATCTAAAGTTGCAACTAAGCGAGAATTAAAGCCTGTAATAAACAGAACATTGTGAATATGTTTCATGATGAGGTAGCTTAAATATATTTACCAACTAATTTTTCGTCTGGTACTCCCTCCAATGCAAGCGATTTTACTGGTGCTACGAGATGGAGCAGGGCGCCATCAAACTTGGTAACTCCTTCAGTTATTTGAGCTCGTACTAACTTCCACTATGGGAAGATAAGAATACATGTTTCCATTTACATATTTTGAAATTAAGAAAAACAATGCTTACCCAATTTTTATATTGTAGAGAGTCACTCCGCACACCAATAATGCTCTTCGCAGCGCCAGCTCGGAATGGATAGTCTAAGGCCAGATGGAAGGCCTTTTCATCCGACTGAGGAACAAGATTCTTCACCAGACCTTCTAGTGCATTGTAAATGTCAAGAACTTTCTTTTCAGTAATTATTTGCTCCACACAATTGTCACAGAATCGTTTTGGTCCGTTGAGCTGAACATTAGCAACATTTCCTTTGTAGTTAATTTTTCCGTTATCGCTTGTAAGTAGGGCTGGGTACCGTTTTGACTCGTCAAATATAATAACGCCAATTTGCACATCAGTAAAGCCGCGGCTCTTGAGCGACTCGCGAATCTCTGTGATGGCCGGTGATATCAGATTGCCTAGAACTGCCGGCGTTACATTTATGTCAACGACAAACACGACGTCGGCCTTGATATTTGGCAACTTGACTGTGAACTCATCACCGAGGTCACGTTGGCCAGGTGCACCAGTGCACTTGAGGCAGCGTGGTGGTAATAATACCCACTGGTTAATTTGTTTGATTGCGGAGCCGTATGCCAAAGCAAAAGTGCACGCAGCTGCCTCCTTATCCTTTTCTGCAGTTTTCTTGAGAGCAATATCGCAAGCCTTTCGGTATGGTTTAGAGTCCAATGTCAAATAATTGAGCGCCAAAGGGGACTCTATTCCGAATATCTCATCACATATTTCATCTCGTTTTTTGCTATCTATTTGTTCATTGTTAAATAGAACAGCTGAGCATTTTCCAACGCCATAATCGTTGCCTAACAAAGCAGAGTTGGCAGCTAGGGTACCATCAACTTGTAAATAGTCGTCGTATGGCTCAGCGTTCCCATTGCCGAGCAGACCTCGTGTTTTTCCAGTATAGAAACCGTTCACGTTAACGTGACAAACCTTCAGGTCTGTGGTGCACACAACATTTACGCCATATTCCGAAAATAAGTGTATAGTATAGAATCGGCGCCATATGTGAACTCCGGGCAAATGTTGCGGGTATTCTACTGGTTTACCATTTACCTTTAGCGCAACAGTATCAGCGACCTCGACGTAGTTTCCATCCCTATCTACAACTGTTATGCCCTTAAGTTTTCCATTGGTAAGCTGCCCAATGACGGTAAAATTATTGTCCACACTGTCTTGTGCCAGTATATATTTGCAGTTGCCAGGGTACGTATAATGCTGTCCATCGAAAGTAAACACGTGTTGCCCATCCACGACATGCCCTCTTAATTCAAAGTCATTGAAGAACACCCATGATTTTAGTAAGTCTTTTGTGAAAATTTGTTCCCAGTTCTCGTTTAGCAAATAGTTTATAGAACTGGAACGGAATGAAAGTAAGACTGGAAGTTTGAATAGCTGGTCTACAGAGTGAGGGAGTGAAGCAAACCATGTCTGCAAATCACCCACTGGAGCGGCAGCACCTGGAGCGCTGTTTTCGATCGAGGCCCAAATTGAGCGGAAGGCCTTAATTAAAAGCTTGCTTAATTCTTCTAGCAATTTTTCATCATTGACAGATTGCTGCTTTAGTTTTGCTTCTAAATAATCGTGTAATTTCTGTAGAAATTCTGATGTTTCTTGAGTTTGTGGTAAAATATGCAATTGATCAAACAGATTGTTAACGATCTCCAACGTCTTTTCGACCAATTTCAAAGCTTGCATTATTTCGTTGAACTCTGTGCGTATGCTCTCGAACGTAGGGAATTTGGAAGCATACTGTTTAAGCTCTTCAATGACTTCTTCAGTCGCATGCACCAGCACCTTAATGAATTCTTGAGCTGCCTCGTTGATTGGTTTCAGAAATTCGTTGACTGCTTTGCAATAGTTTTTCAGTGCTGGTCCATACTTTTCGAGGAGACCCAGC